CACCGCCTACTTCTGGCTTGCTCTTTCCGGGCGCTTGTGCTTGGAACTTGGTCACATGAAAGGTCACATGCGGATATTCTCATCAAATCCTGAACTGAGCTTCAGCTGGCAGGCGTACTGGATGAGTGAGTGAGCTGCATTCAGATGATTCTAGCCTTGCGCCTTCTAGTGTCTGGCTGAGAGGCGGTCCTGTACTGTCTTCTCTGCATTCATAGTGCCTAGTCTAGGAAAGCTGGTAAGTGATTATTGGTTTAAGTCACTGTGTTCACATTAACAAATCAAAGATTTGGGGAAAGAAATATACAAGAAGGTTAGGAGAGTGTGGTCAGGCCAGAATCTCAGCTCTTGGGAAGCTAAAACAGGATTGTCTTGAGTTCAAGATTGGCCTGAGCTACAGAGAAATGCTGTCTTAAAACCAACAACAAACCAAGGATGTCCATAGCAATATAATCTGTAACAATAAGTAAAAATTTTAAATAGTCCACCTAACAGTAAGAAAATGTTTAAATAAATTGATACACATTTTTTCAATTTCTTTATAGTCAGTTCTGTTATAACCAATGTCAAAATGGGTCAAAGTGTATATACATGTAAATAAAAATGATTAAAAACAACAACAAAATGTAAGCATGGGAATATAGCTCATCAGTAGACACTTCCTAGCAGGAGCAAGGCCGTGGATTGATCCTCCTCATTGCCCAAATCCAAAACAAACAGCAAGTAAAAGAGAGAAGGGTTCAAGGTGACCTATGATGTAGCTGGAAAGCTTGTAACTAGCAAGTTCATCAATAGAGCAGTGCTTGAGCTCAGGGCTGTCTGCATTTACTGTGTGTGTTCTTAGTGGAGACCTATGCAGGAGAGAACCCTAATTATCTAACTTTTAAAACTGTGGCTTCAGATTTCTTAAAACCTTCCTCTTTAGACCAGGTTGATTTTGAACAACTAAAAGAACTGTAGTGCTTGTCCTGAACACACAGTATTAAAAATGCCAGTTTCTCTCTGCTGGATTCAATCTAAGTACTCTCTGGATTTCTTATTTTCTCTGTCTCTGTCTCTGGTTCTTTTTAACGTTTTTTAACACTGAAACTCAGACCCCAGAGATCACACATGCTCCACCAGCCCTCTTGGATAAGTGCTAAGCTTCATGAATCTTAACTGTTTTTATGATCTTAGAGGGACTTGAACGACTGGTTTTGCTAAAAAGTACCAGCTCTTCATTTGTAGGTGCAGAGTTGGTAACTAAAGCCTGAATAAAACATTGGCATCTCTGCCTTTCATTGTGTGTGTCTCTTTTGTTATCTTTTCTTATTCAGCTCTGCACAGAGACATGTTAATTACTAAAGCAGTATATATCTAAAAACTGCTAATATAAAGTTCATTAGATATGGGAATCTAGGATACTTTTTTAATTCCAGAATTTTGTAGGCAGATCACACTGTGAAGAATTACCCCGCCAAGTGGGAACAGTTAGCCCATGAAGAAAACTGAGGCTGCTCCCTTATTTTTTTTTAACCTCCCCGCCCCCTTTTTTTTGTTGTTGTTTTTTGCGACATGGTTTCTGTGTGTGGCCTTGGCCTTCCTAGACTTGATTTGTAGACCAGGCTGGCATTGAACTCACTGCCTCCTGAGTGCTGGGATTGCAGGCATGCGCCACTGCTCTGGTGAGGCTGCTCTCTTATGAGAAAATAATTTCACAGCAAGAACTCTGTTGTTATCCTCCAGCAGTAAAGACTTTCTTGTAGCCAGCAGAACCTTGTAGGATAGACCAAGGCAATGGTCAACAAGACCATCCTGATTAAGATTGCCTGTGCTATCAGGCATGTAAATGCCCCAGCTGCGCAACAGCATTCCTCCTAGATTCTGTAACACCTCAAAGTTCCTTTCAGAAAGTTGAAGACAGATCGTAGGTCACCAGACATTTCTGTTCTTCATGGTACAGCCACATGGAACAGAGCTCTTTCCTTCCTTTCACCACTGATCTGTCTCTTCAGTTGACATTTTGGGACAGGTGGCCCAACCTACTTTGTTGTAAACCTTCCATTCAGAGCTTTTGTCCTAAACTCCTATAAAAATCTTGTATTTCAGTTTTCTATTTAAATACAGCCCCTTTACAACAACAGCAACATCATTTTTTTCTGTATTAGCCCATTGTTAAAACACATCTCTCACCTCAGAGAGGTGAGAGGTAGTTGATTCTGTGCTGAATATGAGTGACCATGGTCCAGGAAGGAAGAAAGTAGATGGATTCTATATTATTTTTCTCATTGCTGTCACCAGATACTTGACAAATAGCAACTTAAGATGGAAGGGTTCATTTAGGCTCCCAGTTCAAGGTTATAGTATATCACAGCAGGGAAGGTGTGGCAGCAAGAGTGGCTCTAGCTGCTTTGGCAGAGGCAAGGCAGCTGGTCCCATTGTGTCTATTTAGGAAGCAGAGAAAGAAACTGTCTGACCCTGAGTGCAAGCCTCCAGTATCCCCTTAAGTCTTGAATTTAGCTGCAAAACCACCACCATGTGGATAGTGCTGCTGTGTTCTGCCAGGGCTCGAGGTGTTGTTTGGTTCCCTCCTCCAGCAGCTGTCTTAATCTCTGTGCCCCTTTGTATCTGACCTGGAAAACACTTCTCTGGTTGTTTTTGAGCAGGGAACCCCTTCAGCTGCCTTATTAGTTCTGCCCCTTCTTTCAAGGGTTTTCTATTTTTACAAGCTGGGGCTATTGAGTACCTTTCCTGTTATCCCACCGCAACCTGGGAAGATCCTCTTTAATGATGCTAAACTCTTATGGCAATTACAGCTACTCTGTGTGTACCTACCTTGTCTGCAACTTTAAAGGTGTTTCTGGTCTCACTGTAGATCTAAGAGTAGTAAGGAATAACCATGCTGTAGCCTGGTTGTTGAGCTGTCTTGGAGTTTCCTCCACACACACAAAAAAATTCTTAGTATATTCCCTTTAAAAAAAATTATTTAGCCAGGCGTGGTGGTGTATACCTATAATCCCAGTACTCAGAGGCATAGGTAGGCAGATATCTGTAGTTCCAGGACAGCCTGGTGTACAAAGTGAGTCCAGGACAGCCAAGACTACACAGAGAAACCCTGCCTCAGAAAAACAAAACAAAACAACCCAAAATCCAGGGGAAAAAGATTAAAATTTAATGTGTATAGACATTTCACTTTCATGTGTGTATATGCACATGCATTCCTGATACACTTGGTGGTCAGGAAAAGGCATCAGATCCCGTGGAGTTAGAAATGGCTGTAAGCCACATGTGGGTGCTGGGAATTGAATCCAGGTCCTCTGCAACAGCAGCAAGTACTCTTCAGCACTGAGCCATTTCTTCAACCCTAGTATATTACATTATAATGCATCCTCATGCAGTGTTTTCAGGACTCGGGAAGAAAGCAGCCAGTTTTTATTTTATTTTGTTATCTTTCCCCCTCCAGAACATACTGTGGTTGGCCTCTAGCCCAGTGCCACTTCCCAGTGAAGTCCTTGTTTCTCTGTGAGAACTCTAGAGCCAGAGCATCACTGGCTGCTTTTCTGTTAGCACCCTCGTTTTCCACACTCCACAGGAAGGCCTCACTGTAGCTCACAGCCCCAAACTCTTCCAAGTTCCTCCCACAAACCAGTCCTACAAGGTCTAGGAACTACATAACAGCCCCCTTCTCAGTACCAGTTTTCACATAGCCGGGGTTCTATAGAAGAGCCAAAATACATGTGTATATATTATGATAAAAGGAGATCTATTAGGTTGACTTATGCAATAGGGTTCAGTGGTGGTCATCTGTGTGGTGAAGAGTCTGAGAACCCAGTAGCTGCTTAATCTAGGAAGCTAGATGCTTTAGCAGTGCCAGTCTGGCACTGAAGACCTGGAGCTCCCTGGAAACGGCAGTACTGGGAAGCTGAGGAAGCTAGAGTCTGATGGCAGCAGTAGCAACAGATGCACCCACCCAGGAAGACATACAGGTAGGCAAGGCAGGTGCATACTGCCTTTTACTTGCACCCCTTTATTCTGGGTTTGCTGTTGGAGAGTGCCACTGATGTTGATGGATTTTATCTCCTAAGTAAGGCCTCCCTGGAAGCACACTCATAGACATACTGAGAGGTCTGTCTTTTGAGTGATTTTGAAGTCTTGTCAAATTGACAAGATTAACACCCTGAATAATATGTTCCAGGATAGAAGAGATTATGTGGGCTTCCCCTCTCCCCCGAGACAGGGTTTCTCTGTGTAGCCTTGGCGGTCCTGAACTCAATTTGTATACCAGGCTGGCCTCAAACTCACAGAGATCCACCTGCCTCTGCCTTCCTGAGTGCTGTTATGTGGACTTTTTATAGTTAAAAAGAGTCATAAATCAAGGCATCAGGTTAGCAGGTTACAACGAAGTTGTAGGTCCAAATGTTATCTGAATGATATTCTTAGCTTTGAGGTTGGTAGAAGCTAAGCTAGCAGCCTGCCAAATTAATACCTTTCAAAGGTTTTACCAGATAGTTGAAAGTTATGTTAGGTCAAGCATTGAGAGTGGATACTAAATGGCTATAGGGTCTTATGTTGCCCAATTTGGTTTTGAACTCTGTATCTAAGGATGACCTTGAACTTCTATGCCAACTGTCTCTACATTCCAGGTGATGGGATTATAAGAGGGAGCCACCAAGATGATTTTGTGTGATAACTGGGGATTGAACCCAGGGCTTGTCCATTCAGGGAAAGTACTCTACCAGCTCAGCTACATCTTCAGTCTTCTGCTTCATCAAAACACATATATTTGTTGCATTCATTCATTCATTCATTCATTCATTCATTCATTCATTCATTCATCTATTCGCTTATTCAGTGTGTGTGTGTGTGTGTGTGTGTGTGTGAGAGAGATAGCATCTTGGAATTTTTCACATTATTCTAATATAGTTAGGTCATGATTGTTTATTAGGCTTAGTTTACTCTGAGAAGTTTGTTCATGATTGTTAAGTGTACATTTAAATATTTTAATTATTATTTTCTCTTCCTAGCTGTCCCTTTTCCTCCAACGCAGCGGCTAACTTTGAAGGAACTATTTGAGAATGGGAAACCTAAAATGGAAGTTTTGAAGAACCATTTGTTAAAAGAAGGTCGAGTGGAAGAAGAGGCAGCCTTAAAGATAATCAGTGACGGGGCTGCCATCCTGAAGCAAGAGAAGACTGTGATAGACGTGGAGGCTCCAATCACAGGTGTGGCATGCATTTGCATGGTAGCCATAAGATTTGCCCTAATTTTGAGACATGATTACAAAAAGCCAACTAAAATGAGTGTGATAAATATTTCTAGGAATTTTAGGATTGGTTAGAATGACTTTTGTTTCTTAAAAAACATTAAGGGCCCAAATTTGATGATTTAAAAACACACACAGAGGACCAGAGTTTGGTTCCAAGTGCCCATATTGTGTGGTTCACAACCACTGTAATTCCAGCTGTAGGGAGAATTCCACACCTCTGGCCTCTATGGACACCTGCACTCATGTACATACTGCCCTCTCCAGACAGTTACACACACACACACACTTAAGAATGAATCTTTTTTTTAAAAAAAAAGAAGTACACTATTAATGGCTTAATATTTCTAGTAGGGATATTTGGTACTGATTGAGTAGCTAATTATACAAAGGTCCAGTCAAAAGCCAAAGTGATTAAATTAAAAATTAAACTTGGTCCCTGTTACTTAATGCCTTTTTTTCTTCTAATTTATAATTTTCACCTCATGTCTTTCTTGCCTAGTGTGTGGTGACGTCCATGGACAGTTCTTTGACCTGATGAAGTTGTTTGAAGTTGGGGGATCACCTAGTAACACTCGCTACCTCTTTCTGGGTGACTATGTGGACAGAGGCTATTTCAGTATAGAGGTAAATTTAACCTGGCTCTGCTGCCTTCGTTTATTGTATCATCTTCTAAAAACATCTGCTCTCCATTCCTTAGTAGGACAGTTAAGATGTGAATGCTGGTAGAATTTATCCACTTTGTTACTTTTGACATTTAACTAATAGAGACATTTTTTATTTTTAAAAAATCTATTTTTTAACCTGTAAAAAACTTATAGAAAGCTATATTAAGTTAATTTTGAAAACAGGTATTTGCTAAGTTTTCCTCTTTGAAGATGCTGTCTGGGCTATTTAGAAGGGACATACATAGCTTTTTATGCTAAACAGTGCAGTCTTATAATTAAGGTTAGCTAATCCAGACACTGCTTAACTTCCTCAGAGAACAAGGTATCCCTGAGTTCCACACAAGAGGGATTTCTGGTCCCCTTGTACACAGCAGGTGTTAATGTTCACGGGAAGGCAAAATGTGAGTGGAGCTAAGAAAAACTGAGAGTTTACTTTTATGTGTTTTAAGAAATAAATGATGGGAACATGCATAGAATTAAAAACAAATATGTTCTTCTGTGTGTAAACATAAAATTATTTTAGGACCTAATACAAAGGCTTGAGTACAGTACAATTATAGCATATTCATATTTGCTATCTGTGGAGTTACCTCCACAAGCTTCACAAATAAAAGATCCTTTTTGAAGAAGTCTTCATAATCAAGTTTGTAAAATGCCTCAGAAAGAGCAAGAGGTGACAGATTCTAGTGTTTCAGTGCCTTTAGACTGTGTACTCTTCATAGTGTGAGAATTTCACCGTATTAGTGTGCTCCTAGTAGAGAAAGGTGATTATTGTTGTCTTCTTCGTCATAGTCCTCTGCTTCTTCCTCTCCTTCTCCTCCTCTTCCTCCTCATTTCTCCTCCTTGGTATCCTTCTCCTCCTCCTTCTCTTTCTCCTTTTCCTTCTTCTCCTCATCTTTCTCCCTTCTCCTCCTCCTCCTTCTCTTCCTCCTCCTCTTCTTTTTTCTTTCTCTCTTCTTCCTTCTCCTTCCTCCTCCCTCTCTTTTTTTGCACTATTTAAAATGTAACTCAACATAAAGATACATAAAGAATCTTTAAAATCTTAAATCCAGCACTTGGGAGGCAGAGGCAGGTGGATCTCTGTGAGTTCAAGTCTAGCCTGGTCTACAAAGCAAGTTCCAGGACAGCTGGGACTCTATACACAGAGAAACCAAAAACCAAAACCAAACCAAACAACAGCAACAACAAAACACCTCAAAACAAATATGGTAAACTATCTTCTTATTATTTATTAATATTACTTACATTTATTTAAAAATAGTCCTTTAAAGTTTTAATTTGATTTTTTATTTATTTTTGGTGTTGAGATTAAACTCAGCATGAATTCTACAACTGAGCACTATCCTCAGCCCTTGGGCTTTTGTTTTATTTTGGAGGCAGGTGTCTTTGTGTTCCCCAAGTTGGTCTTTCTTTCTTTCTTTTGAGACATGGTTTCTCTTTGTATTCTTGGCTGGCCTGGAACTTGTTGTGTAGACCAGATGGGTCATGAATTTCTGTTTCAGCCTTCTAAACAGATGGAACTCCAGACATATGCCCTTCTCTGGCTCTTCCTGGTTTTTAGTTTTCAACTCCTTGATAGATTTACTGACTCACATTCTAAAATCCACAATGAGTTTTGTACCTAGATACCATTTTCAGGAAATTTTGTGTTGTATGTTTTCCCCTCCTTTATAAGTAATTTTCTGAGTGCCAGCTTTATAGCATGCCATAGAGATACAATCTAGAATAAGATTTAGGTAGAGGGTGTCACTCAGCTGGAACACTTGCCTAGCATATATGAGTTTCTGAGCTCCACCCCCACCTTCACACAAAAAGAAGGATTCATGTTCTCTTGGAGGAGCTAGCAGTCTAATAGAAAAGGTTCTCTTATGAGCAGGCCTTTCACTATAATAGGAGACGTGTTCCTGTAGTTAACAGTAGTAATTTCATATTAATATCTTACCCAGGGGACCAGTAAATGGCTCAGCAGCAAAGAGCATGTAGTGTTTTTGCACAGGACCCAAGTTTGGTTCTCAACACAGATTTCGGGTAGCTCATAGCTGCCTGTAACTCCAGATGTTCTTATGAGCTTGGGTCTGTTTCTGGACTTCTGGTATATTATGGCATGTGTTAGGGCACAGGCTCTTTATTTTTATGAGCTGAGGTTTTATTATGTAATCAGGCTGATCTAGAACTTCTTATGTAGTAGTCTAAGCTACCCTTGAATTCATGATCTTTTTGCCTGAGTACAGGGACAACAGGCACATGCTACCTTATCTGGCTCAGGACATTGTGTTTTTTGTTTCTGTTTGTGCTGTTGTTGTTTTTGCTTTGGTTTTTTGGAGACAATGTTTGATGTAGCCTAGACTGCGTCAACTTACTGTGTAACTATGTGGCTGAGGCTGACCTTGAACTTATTACTCTGCTTCCACTTCTTAAGTGCTAGTACTATGGGTATGGGACATCGTGTTGTTTATGGGTGCTGGGACTGAACTCAGGCATGCTAAGCAGACACTCTACCAACTGAGCTATACCCTCAGCCTTTTTGTTAGTGTTCAAATGTAAATTTCTACTATAGTGCCCTATTTCTTATTTTTATAAAAGCTTGTTTATTTATCTCTTTAATTTTATATCCTGCTAAATTCTTTTATTAACCTGCTTTTATCATTGATTTTCTGCCTTTTTTTCTGTTATACAGTTATATTGTCTGCACATAATGGCACTTTCAATTTTTTCTTTACTTATTCTGAAGCCTTTCTTGATTTCATTTGTCTAATTATATTGGATTAGTCCCTCCGTCGTAATGTTGAATAATAACAAATAGTAATTATCCTTGTCTTGTTCCTGGTCATAGTGTTTTTCCATTATAAAACAATGATGCAGATTTTAGGACTATAATATGTATGTGGATAGCTTTGCCGAGAGAGTTCTTGCTGTTTAGATACTTAGGAGAGATTTTTATGAAGACTGCCTATTATCTATCAAGTTTAGATAGCAAAAGCTAGAAGATTATATTTTTCACCTTGGAGCTTACAGTGAGATATACCATATAGCAGTCTTTTGGATTTAGATAAATTGTCTTTGTGCACTGTCATGGAAATGAAGAACATTTATCCTCTAATTGTGTCTCCTAGTGTGTGCTGTATCTATGGAGTTTAAAGATTAACCATCCTAAAACATTTTTTCTGCTTCGAGGAAATCATGAATGCAGGCATCTTACAGAGTACTTCACCTTTAAACAGGAATGTAAGTACATGTCTCTCTAGAAGGTTTAGGTGTTTCATGTGCTGCCATGCTCAGTTAAGATAATACCTTCAAAGTAAACAACAATTAAGCCAGGCTTCATGGCTCTTGCCTGTAATACAGCCTTTAGGAGGCTGAGGGAGGATCACCACAAGTTTGAAGCCAGCTTGGGCTATAGAGTGAGACCATGTTTAAAAGATGGAAAGAGAGGAGGACCTCCCTTATCAGTGGACTTGGAGAGGGGCATGGGAGGAGATGAGGGAGGGAGGTTGGGATTGGGAGGGAATGAGGGAGGAGGCTACAGCTGGGATACAAAGTTAATAAACTAATTAATATAAAAAATAAAATTAAAGCAAAAAAGAAAAAGAAAGCACTTAAGTTAAAAACATTGAAGATCTAAGGCAAAATGTCAAGGTTCATAAAATGTTAAGTGTTAACTTTAAAGTCATGATCTTTAGTCATTATTCATTTATTAAGCATTTTCAGTATGACCTAGATTAGTGACACAAATTCATTAGCATTATTTTACTCAATGACTTGGCAATTCTGTGTTATTTCTTTGTGAAAAAGAAAAAAGAAAAAAAAAACCTGTATAAGTAGCTTTTATTTTTAGAATAAAGGTGTCAAATGATCATGGTGATAATAAATCAACACTACTTTTTTTAAGTATGTCAGTTTTTTAAGCTTGAAAAAATTAGCTCCTCTTTGAAAAAACAAACAAACAAACAAAAAACCAAAGAAGAAAAGTTAAATGCTTTTACATTGCTTCTCAGAGAATGAGTTTATTCAGTACCCACACATCACTTTATTGATAGTTGTTCTCCACTTGACAGGGTTACATGTGCTCATATTGTTGCTAGTAGCTCCCTATATTGGACAAGGAGCAGGTTATAATGGCAGCCTTCCTCCCAGTAGAGCCTGAAAGGAAAGGTCAGAGTTATTAAAAGAAATTGTAAGCCATGTTCGGTGGTCATGTCTGTAATCCCAGTACTTAAGAGGTAGAGACAAGAGGGTTAGGAATAGTACAAGGCCAGCCTTAGCTACATAGTAAATTCAAGGTCAGCCTGGGCTATATGAAACCCGTCTGTCAAAAAACACAAAAGAAATCTGCTCAGATACTAAAGTCTGTTGCAAGTAAAGGATCTTCAGATCATGCCAACTCTGGAAATTTACTGAGATAAACACACCATCAGATAATGACCAGGAAGGGTTTCAGATTAAATTTACTCTTGGTAGGTATTGAAATTGGTGTAAAGTATTTGGATAGCAATTTTGCAGTATTTGTAAAGATTTCAGCTTTACATTCCCTTTTCTTGGTGTTTTGACTTGTCAGATATCATGCAGATTGTATACTGCTGCTAAAGCATTTGTCAGGAGTTTAGTGACTTACACCTTAATCATGTCACAGCACCCTCAGAAATCTGGATTTTCCAGTAGGCTTTGCTCATTTGGGACCATGGTATGTGAGGACTGTTAAGTTTTCCTCTGAGGTCAGTAGTTGTTTGAATCCTTGTAACTGTGGATTAAAGGCCTGGCTTTCCTTCCTGCTCCCACCTGTTGGGTCACTCTCAGTTTTTGAAGACTGCTTTCAGCTTTTCCACATATGGTTCCCATAGGTAGTTCCCAGTGTAGATGTCGGCTTTCTTCTAGCCTAGCATAGACGAGTCTCTGACTTTACAGTCAGCTAGCTAGAGGAAACCTGTGCTCTTTAAAGGTTGGTGTGATCAGGCCAGGTCCATCCAGAAGAATCTCCACTTTCCATCTAGTAAAGTGTAACAGTGAGAAGCTCATCAGAGTTAGAGTCCCATGGACTCAAAAGAACTGAATGATTATACAAAGTGGAAGCATTGAAAGTCAGGTTTGTCTAATACAGATGGACAAAACAAAACAAAAAACAATAACAACAAAGTAGATATTTGCTTCTGAAGGATGTTCACTGCAGCCTTAATTATAACAACAAGAAATAATTAAATGTCAACAAATGGCAGAATAAATACAGTGTATTAGTATTAGACCAGGGTGTGGGTGTGTGGAGGTGGGAAGACTCTGTGGAGTCCAGTCTTTCCTTCTACCTTTATTTATGTGGGTTCCCAGGACTGAACTCGGGTTCTCTGGCTTACACAGCAAGTATTTTACCTGCTGAGTCATCTTTCTGGCCCCTAAAATATATTTAAAGCAATGCTCAGCTACTATTTAAATATTAAGGGATCTGAATGTGCTATATGGAAAGATGCTCAGATGTGCTGTTAGCTGAGAGGGACCATTTGCTGACCGTGCACACTGTGTGCAGAGGTCGGCACTAGTGTTTTCTTCTGGTGCTTGGTCAGAAGATCTTGTTTTCATATCTCCTGTAGTACTATTTGAATTATTTTTTGCCACTATTATATACTACTTTTGTAATTTTTTCAAGCTGCTAATTTAAAAATGACTCAGGTATTTAAAGGGGCTTTTATTTGTTTTATTCTCTCTCTCTCTTTCTGGTTTTTTTGAGACAGGGTTTCTCTGTGTATTCCTGGCTATCTGGGAACTCACTCTGTACACCAGGCTGCCCTTGAACTCAGAGATCCACCTGCCTCTGTCTCCCGAGTGCTGGTATTAAAGGCGTGTGCCACCACAACCTGGCTTAAATAAATATTTTTTAACATTAACATTTTTATTTTGTATACGTGCATATGGATGAGCATGGGCTTGTGTGGAGGTCATGGAATTGGTTCTCCTCCCTTCTACCATGTGGTAGATTGAATTTAGGTACAGGCTCATCGAGTGCTGTGTCCCACTAAGCTGTCTCTCTGGCCCATTAATAGGTTGTTGAAACACTCCTAGTAATTGTCAATTGGTTAAGAATAACCGCAGGACCAGGAAGTTGGTTGAACACTTGCTCCTGAGCCTGTTGGCCTGAGCAACCCCCCAGGAAGCAAAGAATTGATTCCTGAAAGTTGTCCTCTGACTTCCACATTTGTGACACGTGTGTGTACATGTGCACAACGATGTAAATGAAATAAAAGAACAACTGTGCCAATGTCTTTGAAAACTCTCTACCTTTTTTAAACTATTTGAATATTTTGAAGTTATTTTACAGCCTGGAAAAGTAAATAATATGTATAAAACAGCTGACAAAGACCCTGGAACCTGCTTGCTGGAAGTCAGCCAGTTGTACTTAGATTTACATGAGTAGCAAGAAAATTGCCTGCAGATGCCCTGTTCTGAGTGAAGAGGGTGTGATGGCATTGGTTTTGACAGAGGGTCCTCTGCATTGCCTAGGCTATGCACAGCAGTTCATTAGACTTAGGTTCAGGCTTGTGGTTTAGTTAGTTTTTTGTTTTTTTGGTTTTTTTTTTAAGACAGGGTTTCTTTGTGTAGCCTTGGTTGTCCTGGACTCTCTCTTTAGACCAGGCTGGCCTGGAACTCACAGAGATCTTCCTGCCTCTGCCTCCTCAGTGCTGGGATTACAGGCATGCAACACTTTGCCTGGCTCTTAGTATGATTTTTAAGGAACATTTACTGTAATTTCCCAACCTATTCTCCCCCTTTTAAGCAACAGTTTTCATTTGTTCTTTTGTGGGTTTTGGTGCTGAAGAGTGAAGCGGATGTCTTTTGTGATCAGCATAATTGGTTCTGAAATTGGTTCTGACTATTTTTAGAAGATAGAACAATAGGCTCAGGAAATGCTTTTAGCATCTTATTTTGCCCAGAATTCCTTACCAGTTATCTCTTCTCTATTTGCTTTCGGAGTGCTTCTAGCTGTCCTGCAGCCCAGTCAGTCTCCTGTGTATAGTAATTCCCATTTCATTCGAATGCTGCATGCAAGATGCAAGTAACTCTTGGATCAAACATACACACTGAAGTAGAAATATAACATTTAAGAAAAGAACATGAGTGTTGCATGAGTGTTCACTCGTAGGCTGGTCTTGCCCATGGCCACCGTGACTTTTACAATCAGAACCATATAATTAATGCTGAGTGACAGTTGCAGAGTGTGCAGCTGCAGGCCTGTGACTGCTTTTAAAGTGTGTGATTTTCTTGTCTCATCAATTTTTTTAAGTCCTATTTTTACATTTTGCTTTACAACAAGTCTAAGTTCCCCTGATAGGCCCCCTCTTTAGCTCCTAAATAGCTGGTATCACAGGCCTATGTCACCAGGCCTGCATTGCATTCATTCTTATTTATACTAGGAGATTTATTTTTTAATGTTTTTAATGTTTTTTTTTAAAGCATAAGATAACTTGAATAACAAAGAAAATAACTGATTTCTTTTGGGAAGAGGTGTTTTTAAGACAAGGCTTGTTAGATAGCCTAGACTGGCCTTGAACTTGCTGTGCAGTCCCTGCTGGCCTCAAATGCTCAGTGAGCCTCCTACCTCATCCTTCTGAGATTACAGGCATGTGTCACCATGCCTAGCTAATAGTTAATTTCTTACATACAGTCTTTTTATGGTCTGGTATATTGATTCCATCTAATAGTCCTGGGTCCAGATTTCTTAAGAGGAATAGTTTGTTGTTTTGTGAACTTCTTTTTTGACAGCTTACTGACAAGTTCCAGAAACTCTTGTGATTTTCTAATGAAAAGCATTGTTATAACAGACTTTTAAGGAACAAATACTGTTTGTTGCAGCATTATTTAGAGTAGTGGATTGGTCTGGTTCGATTATGGCATATCCATAAAGTCAAGAGCTATATAGTTTTGTTCTTTTTAATTACTAAGCTTACCTTATAAGAAAGACAAAATTTTACCTTACCCCTCAGGATTTTTCAGCTAGGCTAGAAAATTAAATTGCCCGGGCATGGTACATGCCTTTAATCCCCAGCGCAGGATTTAATAAAGTTAACCTGCTAGCTCAGAGAGGCAGAGAAAGCACCCAGCTGACTTTCTAAGATCTAATCCAGAAGGGAAAAAACTCAAAAGGCTCACTAGCTCAGCTGACAGTCCAGGAGGAAAAGGCAAAAAATAAAAAAAATATAAAAAAATAATAAATAAAACCTGAGGCCAAAGGCTTGCTAGCTCAG